CAACATCTCTTGTTTTGGGATTTTGTGACGTGGACTAATCTTACTGGAGTTAAATGATATCTCAAAGTAGTTTTGATTTGCATTTCTCTGATGATTGAGGATGATGAGCATTTTTTAATGTGTCTGTAGGCTGTGTACCTGTCTTCTTCAGAGAAGTTTTTCTTCAAGTCCCTTGCCCACCCTGAGATGAGATCACTTGTTCTTTTCTTGCTAATACTCTTGAGTTCTCTGTGGATTCTGCTTATTAAGCCTTTGTCAGAGACAAAACCTGCAAATATCTTCTCGCACTCTGAGGGCTGTCTGCTTGCTTTACTTACTGTTTTTGTGGTTGTGCAGAAGCTTTTTAGTTTGATCAAGTCGCAGTAGTGTATTTTTGATGTTGCTTTGATTGCCCGAGGGGTCCTCCTCATAAAATTTTCGCCCAGGCCAATTTCTTCAAGAGTTTTCCCTACACTTTCTTCTAATATTTTTATAGTTTTATGTCTTAAGTTTCAATCTTTAATCCAGTGAGAGTCTATCTTAGTTAATGGTGAAAGGTGTGGGTCCAGTTTTAAAGACAATACTTTTCATTTATTAAAATACATAGTATAAGTTTTCTGGAAATCTTTAGGAAATTAATATGTTCATTTATTAAAGTACATAGTGTAAGTCTTCCGGAAGTCTTTAGAAAATTAACATGAAATGGTAAAACACAGAAATCGTGTTGCTTTGTTTACTCCCTAGCTTGAAGCAAAGCAACAGCAGAATTACTCTGAAATTTAAATTAAGAAAAGTTATACTGTATAAAGTCTAGTCAAACGTTGTCTAATTTGCCATGCCTTCTTTTAAGCAAATTAAAATTTCTGTTTTCACTCTCCCCATCTCAGATTTAATGTATGATAACTCTGTTCCCCATCTTGTTTTCCTGAGCTCTTGTCTTATCTCCTCAATATCTTTCTGTATTTATTATTGAACAATAGTTCAACTGTAAACGACTATCAATTCAGGCAGAGTCACTCAAAGAAGGAAGGGAGATATTCTTACAAATTTTTAACATAGAAATAACACTTTAAAAGTGAGCTACACAAAAGCAACATTTAAAATACTGTTAAAGCTAATGTTTGCAGGTAATTCTATCATTATCATCCCTCTTAATGAGGCAAGAGAGGTGAGCCATAGAGGGAATGCAGTGTTAAGGACGGGGAAAATAAGCAGCTATTACCATCTAGTCTACCCACATCCAGTTAATTTAGAAGATAGGGAGTTGGGGGCCATAATTATTACAGTACTCGTTTGCCCTCTGATGCTGGACTTCAAATATTTCTCTGGACTTTTATTTTCATGCCTCCGAAATGTAGGTTTCCAGACTAAAGACATATTTGAAATCTTTTCTAGGTCTAAAAGTCACTGACCTTAAGTCTGTGTGCCCTTTATAAAGGCCAAGTTTTCACAAAAAATAGCATTCTTCTGGAAAGTCTTTGAAGTAAGGAAAAGCTATATTTAGAAAGCCCCTTTAGGCATTCCTGGGTGTTCTCATGTCTTGCAGCTATTTATAACCAGGTGCAGGCCAATAGGACAACAGATTGGCTTTAACTAATCATTGCCCAGGTCTTTCTGAGAGTTAAAGAGAGTTTTTCATTATTCTAAATGTGGATTTAAGAAAGTGTTGAAAACGAGAATTTTTTAAATTTATTAACTGAATTGCCCTGTTGTTTGCATGGCCTGACATGGAACATGATTTCAAAGGTTGCCTTTCTGTTTGGGAATATAGCTGGCACACTGCTGTGACACAGATATGGTACAGAATCCACATATTCAACTGTTTTGTGTTCCCAAGTGTGAGTCATTTTCTTATAAATTTCATACCAATGTATTTCAATTTGAATGCAGATAGAAATTTATAAAGTTCTTCAAGCACTGCTTTTCATTCTTATAAACTTTGTTGATTTTAATACAAAGGACTTTATCAATTTAACAGAGTAAAAATTTTTTTTGATATTGGACACAATACAAATCAAAAGAAAACAAAAATATCATTACGAAAAAAACCCCAAAAACCTCAAATAGAAAATGAGATATTGCCTGTATTCCATGATGTTAGTGATGTTAGTAAAAGATATTATGGCTTAGAGACTAGACACTGACTCCCATTATAAACAGCTTTTGTCTATATTAGCTGCCTGAAGGAAGATGATCTCTCAAGGATCTTTTGTAGTTTGTTTATCATTTTTTAAACTGCAGTTTAATTCAATAACATTGGCAAACATCTTGACGTTATCTTACAAAGATTAATACTCAAATTCCCAATGACTCAGCAATTCTACTCTTAGTTCCAATATGTTAAGATAAATCTTGCACATGGGTACCAGGAGACATTCAAATAAATGTTAGTGAAATATTGTGCCTAACAGATCCACAAAGAGCCAAATATCACCAGCAAAATAATAAACACGTTTTCTGTATTTACGCATGTAACATATTACGCAGCAGCAATGAAACTGAACTAGTACTAGTTAAAATGGATAAATGTTAGAAACCCAATGTGGAGTGGGGAAAAAGCAAGCATAGAAAATTACATAAAATACGATGGCAATTTTATAAGACTCAAAAACAGGCAAAATCACATGTAAATTAAAAAGAAATAAATATTAAGTATGTGAATAAAAACCAAGAGCAAAGTGACTTTTTTGGTGACAGTACAAGGGCAGAACCAAGAGGAAATACAAAGAAAAATTCAGCAGTGTTGATTCTAGTCCCTAGTTTTGGTGATGTGTTTGCCGGAGTTTATTTCATTACATTTCATAATTTATATGGATTTTCACCTATTTTTTTTTTTACAGGTGTCAATTTTATGATCATATTTTTAATGTGAAAATCATTTAGATGGCAAAGATAGACATTAATTACAGAGATGGGGATCCGCTCCAAACAACATGTGTATTTATCAGTCTTTGTACTCAGAGAACTTTCAGCTACAAAATTCTTCCTTGTTTATATGAGGACTTGATGTTCCATAATGAAATCTCCTACGTTGGGACAATAGTCTATCTTTTTTAAGTGACGCTATTCCTTTAGCTGTCTAGAAATTTTATAAACAACTGATTAACTACGTCTATTCCTGAGAGATTGCAGAAAAAGAACAGGGTATGGGCGGCAAGCGCATGAGTTATTGGTAAAACGCATTCCCGTATAAAAATAGCACATATTAATACCCCATCGGACAACTCAGAATTGTTATTGTAGGCATATCTCAATATCATATACTGGTAAAGGAATAAAATAATCAAATATGAGGAAATTTCCTCTTATTTTGACAGTAGTTCCAGGGTGCTATTTTAGATCATTAATTGACCTTTATGTTTTGGAGTGTTTGTGTGTTTGGGTTTTGTGATAACCAGATTATGCTAATTTTTTTATTTCACTCTTTAATGAAATGGCTTCTGTTTTCCCTTGGGAATACAGAAGATAGCAATAACAGAATATGGACAACTAGCGGTGGCAGTACTATGAGTATGCCACCCGTGGAAAAGGAAAAAATAACAGTTTTAGTAGCTAGCGATTCTGAAATTGCCCTTAACCGGCAATTTAAGGACAATTTCAGAATCATTATGAAATGTCCTCGCAAATATGTTTTGTGGTAAGGTGACTACAGCTAATAACAATGTATTGTATATTTCAAGTTAGCCAGAAGAGATCATTTTTAATTTTATCACCACAAAGAAATAATGACTCTTTGAAGTGATGAATATGCTAATTCCCTAATTTGATCACTGCACAACATACACCGGCACTGATGTGTTACACTGTCCTCCACAGACGGGTACCATTACTATGTGTCTATTATTAATTGTTTTAAAAACCAAAAATGTTCCCAAGTACTATAGCTAAAAGCTTATCGGAAGGATTTTGTACTCATTCTCAAGTACATTGACTAGTAAGTCTATGGAAAGTACTATGTCTAATTGTAAAAGATAATATGAAGATTATTAAAAATCAGCCTCAAAACTAGATAAATTTTCAGCTATGTCAGCAGTCTGAGATCCAGGTTTTCATGTCACAAAGTCTTCTGTCACAGATCCTGGCAAATATGGGGTCTGTATTGGTCTTATAATTACCCTTAGAATCATGGGGGCTTATTCATTCATTCAACACATTTTCTTGCTCACATTCCACATCTCAGTTATAGTGCCAGGTCCTAGACGATAGAAGTTAACGCACAAAGACAAACACCTTTACTGTCGTATTATCCTTTCATCATTTATTCACCCATCTGTCATTCAACATGCGTCTTCATTCTGAGAGCTGATGAGGGCTCCAATGCTCTGTTAAACACTGAGTACACAGCTGCAGATGACAGGACTAGCCCCTGTGTTTTCCTTGTCTTAGCATAAATTGTAATATTCCTTTGCCCAGGTTTTGATCTCAAATTGCAACGTAGAGAAAATTGTCAGTGGGATTCTGATATGCACAGATAAATGGAAACAGAGCCACTGTTTCACGTGCCCCAGTCTCCTACCCTCCAGCTCCTGATGTGCGCTCATTTTGATTCTGCCAAGACCAAGCCCAGATGTGCTCCAGCAATAACCAAGCCAACTTCCTCAGCCCACAGACTGGGGGTGTTTGCCACTTGGAAGACTTGATTCCATACGGCTCTTAATTTTAATAAGCAACCAGAGGGTCATGGAGACAACTGGTGAAACTGACTTGTATTAAAAGAAAATATCAAAAACTTTAATCTGTGGCTCCACACGCCTAATCCCCTGGGGTTGAAGCACCGGCATGGAGATCACTAAGTGTACTTAGTAACAATGAGCTAAAAATGGAAAGAAAACATCATGCTGTTATTGTATTCATTCCCCTCCAAGGTATTGCCTGACAAACACCATAACCCCGAGGGAACTGAGAACAGCTCCTTTGTAGGTAGGTTATGTCCATCTTTTTTCCAATAGTCTCAGCATCACATCCAGCTTTCAGCACACATAATTTAAGGCGATTGAATGTTTGTGGCTCAGTGTTCCTACCTGATTGGAAACCTTCTTCTTGTCCTTAATTCATTGACTGTACTGGATTTCCTTTTTACTGGAGACGACCCTCAGGTTTCTGCCAGAAATTGCTCCTTTGGGCAAACCAGGCCTTCCCAGAAAATCAGGAAACTGAAATGGAGACAGCAAGAGAAAGGGAAATTATCTGTACACACAGATACAACTTTTAAAGGGGTTTTGAAGTAAATGTTCAAGTTTATATCTTCTAAACAGTATACTAATAGAATTTCACAGCTTATGAATTTCAAATCTTACAAAGCAAACACATGACAAGAGTTAGGGTGCATTTTAGGCCCACAAGCCAGGCAGAGAATTCAAAAAAGATCCCGTTACCCTTAATTAACCAAGACACAAAGTGAGGACAAAAAAGGCAAGTTTTCTAAGTCTTTTTCTTTAAAATCACGTTAGTTTTCTGGTTGTCACTGAAGACTTCTTTTCTTCAGTTTTCATGTAGATCCTCGGAAACTTAATTTGACTAAACTTAATTATTCACAAACATAGAGACTCGAAGGACATTTTGCTGAGATCTTTAAGGTCTCTTCAAGTTTTATCACTCGCCAAAGTCTTTGTGTGTAGTTCCTTTTGTGATGGGGCAGTGGGGAGAGAACCAACCTGCTGACTGCTAGTCAGTGTTTAAGATGGGCATCAGATAAGGAGAAGCAACAGAAGCAACGGAGCTCCTCTGTTGGGGTTTTAAAATAATACAGCAGTTTTCTGAGTGACGGAGAGAGCAGCTTCTTCAAATTACAGACATATCTGTTACAGACCATCTGTCCCTAAATTCCACACCAGCATTAATGGAAACCAAGTGACACCATCTCTCTCCTTCCTTTCATTTCTTGGCCATTCTCATAAAAATTATTTCACTCTTTAAGGTCATGCTCTTTTCCATCTGTTTGAAAATATCAGAGTCTGGGAAAATGACACATAATGAGCCATCGTCGCTGGGAAACTGTGCCAGGGACGGCCCTGCAAGGGCCGTGGACTGTCAGGGGACTAGACAGGGTTCAGATTGTCTTTGCAGTTCCCCTAGAAGCAGGGCCTGAGATAAGAATTTGAATGCAAATTGTTCCTGAAAAGTGGTTTCAGGAAACTCAGGAGTAGAAAGGGAATTGAGAATAGAGACTTGGAAGGAATCCAGTGGAACCACGTTACTCAGCAGTTTTTTGGTGTAGGGCTCCCTTGTTATTCCTTCAGAGGAGTCTTGCCAGCTTCTGCGGAATGTGTCTCAGAGTTATCCCAATCAGCGAGGAAACGGAAGAACCTTATATTCCAAATCCCCTTTGAAACTGGTGGAAAGCTATACCCAGATATATTGTCTGCTGCACAGTTCTGTCCTGCCCTGAAGTAGACATTTTCAGATGATAGCACCATTCTGTCACTATGGAATGATGAGTGCTAGGGAGAGGGGGAAGGGGCACTTGATACAGGTAGTGAGGTATTGAGGATGAGCTCGTAGACCACGGGGGTAACCTTAGAATCTTGGGTCAGCAGTTTTCCTTTGAAGTATAAGTAGATACTAATGTATCTAGCTATTTCCTCTATCAAATCAAATTAAGGTTCATTAAGTCCCTTATCTCATGGAAAACTGTGTCTTTGATACAATCCTAGTTTAAAAAAAAAGAGAGAAAATCAACATTCCGTGTGGGCCATTCATTCATTCACAAATTTTTACTGAACATTAACCTATGTCAAGGACTAAGTTAGACAGCCATGTAACCATTATAAAAATCATTGTCTTACCATTTAGAGTTTATTCAAAGCAAATTCATAATTGCTATACAAATTATCACAGGCAGAACTTTAATTCATGCTGTGCCCAGTAGTAAGGGACCTTTCTGTAAAAGGCAGTTTTGGAGATGCAGGTAGCAGAATGAGAATGAGGGGTTAAGTATGTGGGACAAAAAGAAGAGAAATTATAGTAGAAAAAAAAATAATGGTTAAGGAACAGGACAGAAAGGAGTTTCATATAGAACTGGTATAAGGAGTGCACAGAGGGATATAAGGAAAGAAGACCAAGGGGAGGATCTCGTAGCAGCCAGGTAATGAATGGCTTATGTCTGTGTGACAAGGCTGTGCAATCCAACCCGAAGGAGGATGGGGAGCCACTGAATGATTTTGACTGGACAACTGAAGTTAGAAGAGAAGACCAAAAAAAAAGTTAATCTGTGTTACATGATCAAGTGTTTATTATTTGTTTTAGAAAGTCATTTTGGAAATACTGAGGCCGTATTTTTTGGAGAAGGGTGGTTGCAATGCTAGATACAGAAAGATTAGTTAGTCCATTAAGTCAAACAAGTTAAATATAAAAATTATGACCGGGGATTCTTTTCTTTCAGAACATCCATGTACCAACACTTTTCGCCTCCCTAACTTCAGGTCAGGAATCTGTTGTCACTGGATGTGGTGTTTCCCCGTAGGTAACACAGTGTTTCCCGTAAGTAACGCAGTGTTTCCCGTAAGTAAGACAGTGTTTCCCCGTAGGTAACGCAGTGTTTCCCCGTAGGTAACGCAGTGTTTCCCATAAGTAACGCGGTGCTTCCCTGTAAGTAACCCAGTGTTTCCCTGTAAGTAACCCAATATTT